CCGTGGGCCTAGATAACGGGTGAATTCCTGCAATCAAAATGATATTAGCCGGGAAAGCTAGGTCTTTGGAAGAAAAAGCAGGATGTTGTGTTGACCTTTAATAAGAGTTTGCTTAAACGCTCATTCTAAACCTTCAACTTTGGGTGTCTGTGTATGTATGTGTGTGTGTGTGTTTTAATGCTTCTGCCACCTGTAAAAAGAGGGGGGGCTTAGGAAAGCCCCCCTCCTCCCCCAATTGGTTAAAATCAGCGGCTCATGGCTTAATCTGAATATAACCAAATCCAGCCAGCTTACCTATCGAAAACCTTATTGAATATTTTGTGGTCAGAGCTGCTTTGCCTTCCAACACATCAAACTCCTCCTCCTTCCCCCCCCCCAATTTGGAAGAGAGGATTTTCATAATACACCAGCATCTGAACGTGATTTGGCGTTTGTCCGCTCGGCACTAATGGCGAAATCAACCACGAATCGTGAGCCTGCCTTCCGCCCCAACATGCTTTCTTGCTGTAATCTTATTCTTAATCTCTCGCTTTTTGACTGCGGCGGGGGGGGGGAATGGCTTTGTATTATATACAGAGAGAGGGTGCTTTGCTTGATGGTGAAGATGGGGGAGAAACACCACGGGGTGAAAGGGAAGAGGTGCTTGCTGCCTTACAAAAAAATTGAAAATTCAAATTTTGCTGTTTTTCATTAACCTGCATGCAAATATGTCGGGAGGTCTGGCCTTGTGTGGATCAAGCTAGAGGCTTAAGTTAATTGTTATTGGTTCTTGCAAGAGCAGGTGTGTTCCCCCCCCCACACACACACACCAAATACGGCCTCCTTATGCATTGACCCAGATTGGAGAAGAACTCACTAAGACAGAATGCTTCCGTAAACTTATTTTTGTACTTATTTATCTCCCGCCTTTATTATTTTTTACAAATGAATCGAGGTGGAGGACATACCCAGCACACGAGGGGGGACAGGATAGCAGTCTTCCAATATCTCAGGGGCTGCCCCAAAGAAGAGGGAGTCAAGCTATTCTCCAAAGCGCCTGAAGGCAGGACAAGAAGCAACGGATGGAAACTGATCAAGGAGAGAAGCAACCTAGAACTAAGGAGAAACTTCCTGACAGTGAGAACAATTGACCAGTGGAACAACCTGCCTCCAGAAGCGGTGAATGCTCCAACACTGGAAATTTATAAGAAGAGACTGGACAGCCGTTTGTCCGAAATGGTATAGGGTTTCCTGCCTGAGCAGGGGGTTGGATTCAATGACCTCCAAGGTCCCTTCCAACTTTATTATTATTATTACTTTCTTTCTCCTATTTTCCTCACAACAACCCTGTGAGAGAGATTGACCTATCCAAAGTCTGGCTTTCCTGGCTAAAGCAGAATTTGAATTCATGGTCTCCTGTTTAAATGACAGGTGGCTTCTAGATTTATGACTTATGACCACTTTTCACACGTAAGACCGTTGTAGCATCCCCATGATCACGCGATCGAAACTCAGATGCTTGGCAGCTGACTCATATTTATGACGGTCGCAGTGTCCCGGGGTCATGTGATCCCCTTTTGCAACCTTCTGACAAGCAAAGACGGGAAGCCAGATTCACTTAATAACTGTGTGACTGACTTAACACCTGCAGTGATTCACTTAACAACCGTGGCAAGAAAAGTCGTAAAATGGGGCAAAACTCATTTAACAACTGTCTCACTTAGCAACAGAAATGTTGGGCTCAATTGCGGTCGTAAGTCAAGGAGTACTATAGTCCTACTGACTACTAAAACAATTAGTAGTTTTTTATTATTATTATAGCTAGGCACAGTACAAAAAAACCAATATCAAGAAATACACATTGCCACCTGAGTTAAGATCACAACTAAAATATGGAGCCTCAATAACCCTAATAGGCTGTAAACCTCTCTCCCCCCCCCCAAAAAAAAATAGTAATTAAGCCTTATCTCTAAATAACAAAATCTGCAGGAAGAATTACTGTTTTGTGCTCTGATCTCTGTTTTTATAAAGCAGATAGGATGTAATAATTCCTGCTAGAGTGTCTGAGATGCCTAGCGTTTCAAAATGTTACTTTTAATTAAGGGAAAACTTTATAAAACCTTATAAGACCACATCTGGAATACTGCCTCCAGTTTCGGTCACCACACTACAAAAAAAGATGTTGAGACTTTGGAAAAAGTGCAGAGAAGAGCAACTAAGACTAAAGGCCCGAAGACTAAAACATATGAAGAACTGTTGCAGGATTTGAGTATGGCCAGTCTAGAGAAAAGTAGGGCTAGAGATGACATAATAGCAATCAATAGTCCAGTATTTGAGGGGATGCCACAAAGAAGAGGGGGGTCAACTTATTTTTCAAAGCATCAGAAGGCAGGACTAGAAACTATGGATGGAAACCAATCAAGTAGAGAAGCAACCTGGAATTAAGGAGAATTTTCCTGACAGAACAATTAACCACTGGAACTACCTGCCTTCAGGAGTTGCTCAAGCAGGAGACAGGCGTTGGATATACTTGCCTCCTTGTGTTATTTGTAAAAATGATAAAGCTGGGGTACATATACATGAAATGAAATGAAACTATTGTTTCTGGATGGCAATAGGTTTTTTTTCCCCTGACCTGTGCTACAGGTAGTCCTGTATGACCACAATTGAGCCCAAAAGTTCTGTTGCTAAGTGAGACCTTTGTTAAGTGAGTTTTTCCCCATTTTATGACTTTTCGTGCCACAGTTGTTAAGTAAATCACTACCCTTGTTAAATTAGCAACACGGTTGTTCAGAGAATGTGGCTTCCCCCATTGACTTTGCTTATAAGAAGGTTACAGAATGGGATCACGTGGACCCAGGGTATTTCCTAACCATCCTAACTATGACTCAGTTGCCAAGTGTCTGAATTTGGATCACATGACCATGGGGACGCTGCAACGGTTGTAAATGTGAAAAATGGTCATGTCACTTTTTTCAGTGCCATAGTAACTTCGAACGGTCATTAAATGAAGTGTTGAAAGTCAAGGACAACCGGTATTTCATCATGGTGGCCAATATCTGAAAGGGTTTCCTTCTGTGGACAACCCACCTGGAGGGGGCCAGCTTGGGGACCCCTAAACAGGAATAAGATACCTGAAGGCAGGAGAAGAAGCAACGGATGGAAACTAATCAAGGAGAGAAGCAACCTGGAACTAAGGAGAAACTTCCTGACTGTTAGAACAATTAACCAGTGGAACAACCTGCCTCCAGAAGCTGTGAATGCTCCAACACTGGAAGTTTTTAAGAAGAGACTGGACAGCCACTTGCCTGAAATAGCATAGAGTCTCCTGTTTGAGCAGGGGGCAGGACTAGAAGACCTCCAAGGTCTCTTCCAGCTCTATTCTGCTCTAAAATCCTCAGGCTGCTGCAAGACGTTGTTCAGGAAAGGGCAGCCATCAGGAGAAGGCAGATTGACACAGGAAGAGGTGCAATTTGTCCTCTTTGGCTGCTCCAGTTTCATGAAAAGGCTCCTGAGAGGATCAACCCAGGTTGGGGAAGAACCGGAAGGGAACCAACCCAACCCTTTTTACACCTGCCGCCTCGATACCTGGAAATGATCCCATTTTTTTGCCACCTGCATTTGTTCTTCCCGGACCAAAGAGGTATCAGCTCAATATTTTCACTTAGCCCATTTTTCCTCTATTGAGATTTTTAGCCATTCTGTCTCTGTGTTTTCTGCCCGCTTTTGCTTCGGGCTCTTAATTTAGCAAGAGGGGTCAGCCGAACAACACCTAAAAAGAGCAGCAAGTCCAGACCGACCCAAGAACATTGATTTGCACACTCTTGCGCGGGGTTCCGCAAACCCGGCGGCTTTAAGGCTCGTGGACTTCGACTCCCAGAATTCCTCAGCCAGCATCGCGATGCTGGCTGAGGAATTCTGGGAGTCGAAGTCCACGAGCCTTAAAGTCGCCGAGTTTGCAAGAGCCCGACCGTACCTGGCCCCTTCCTTCGGCTCTTAACATCTGTTTCTCTCTGCTTGCGAACTTAGGGAACGTCCCTTCTCCCAGCGCGCCTTTGAAGAGGGTCTTGGCCTACACCGGCTGCTTTAGCCGCACCCAAACCGTCAAGGAGATCCACGAATACCTGTCGCAGCGGCTGAGGATGAAAGAGGAGGATATGCGCCTGTGGCTGTACAACAGCGAGGTAAGGGCAGAATCGGGGAGGGTCCCCCGTGGAGAAGAAACCGGTGGGCTCTCAGCCCATGCGTGGTGACCGGAAGTTAAAATGCCTGGTCTGAGTGGTGGGGTCCAAGACCCATTTTGGTATGAATGGCATTGGACGGTTGGGGTCCCAAATTAGTAGTTCCTCCTTTGAGTACAGCTTGATTCAGAGAGATGCTGAGTCAGCCTCCTAGGCATGCTGGGATCTGCAGAGCCAGCCTACAGATAGTCCTTGACTTAACGAGCATTTGTGTAGCGACCTTTTGAAGTCACGACAGTGTTAAACAAATGAATTGTGACTGGTCCTCCTACTTAGGACTTGCTGCTTCCCTGTGGTCATGTGTGATCAGAATTTGGGTGCTTGGCAACGGACGTCTATTTACGCGGGTCACCTTGTCCTAGGGCAGGGGTAGGCAACCTTGGCTCTTTTATGACTGGTGGACTTCAACTCCCAGAATTCCTGAGCCGGCATGGCTCAGCATGGAAACCTCTCCCTTTCCCCTCAGCATGGCTGGCTCAGGAATTCTGGGAGTTGAAGTCCACGAGTCATAAAAGAGCCAAGGTTGCCTACCCTTGTCCTAGGGGGTCCTTTGATCGCAATTTTCAACCTTCCCAGTCAGCTTTCAATCCGCAGTCAAAGGAAGGATACCAGTGTAAGGACTCAGACTCTAGAAAGAGTGCAGAGAAGAGCAACAAAGATGATCAGGGGACTGGAGGCTAAAACATACAAGGAACGGTTGCTGGAATTGGGTATGTCTAGTTTAACGAAGAGAAGGATGAGGGGGGACATGATAGCAGTGTTCCAATATCTCAGGGGCTGCCCCAAAGAAGAGGGAGTCAAGCTATTTTCCAAAGCGCCTGGAGGCAGGACAAGAAGCAACGGATGGAAACTGATCAAGGAGAGAAGCAACCTAGAACTAAGGAGAAACTTCCTGACAGTGAGAACAATTAACCAGTGGAACAACCTGCCTCCAGAATCTGTGAATGTTCCAACATTGGAAGTTTTGAAGAAGAGACTGGACAGCCATTTGTCCGAGATGGTATAGGGTTTCCTGCCTGAGCAGGGGGTTGGACTAGATGACCTCCCAGGTCCCTTCCAACTTGATGATGATGATGATGATGATGATGTCCAGATCACCTGCCTCCCACCTGCCTCTCCCTCCGCACTCGGATTTACCTGTGCTGTGTTAAGGGGCTGGCAGGCTGCAGCCGCTGTCAGACATTGTCGGCCCCTGTGCGCTCACCGTTGTTTCTTGTCTCGCCTTCTGGTGCTTTGGTCTTCTCAAACCAGGGTAGTAAGTTGTGAAAGTAACTCCACTTCTGGCTCCACTTAAAAAAATAAATATAAAAAATAAAATAAAAGCCATAGGTAAACATCAAAGGAGCATCTAGATCAGGTGCCCCTCCTCCTCCTCCTCCTCCTCCTCCTCCTCCTCCTTCTTCTTCTTCTTCTTCTTCTTCTTCTTCTTCTTCTTCTTCTTCTTCTTCAACTAACCACCCAAGAAAGCAGTACTCTTGAAACAGGCATTGTCTCAAAAGGATACTTTTATTAGGGGGTCAGTAACAGTGGAGAAGTCAAGGCCGAGATCTGGGGAAAAGCCCACTTGAACAATATAATTAAACTAGCGATATTCCTCCTCCCACCAAAGTCATAATGTCCGTTTGAAATCCAGCCAATCCACAGGTGGTCTGAAGAGTGGGTAACTGGCACAGCTGGCGGGCATCTCAAGGTCTTCTCCAATTTCCTTTCTTTCTAACCGTCTCCCTGATAAGGGAGACACATTCCTTTCTCAAAGGGACGGAGGCAGCAAGAGAGAGTAGAAAGCGAAGGTTACCCCAAGGTAATGCAAAGCTCCCCCCCCCCCAGCAGAACGGCAGGTTGAGTATATATGCAAGGTAAAGAATAAGGGTTTTGGGGACCTGACAGCCCAGGTTTGTTTAACAACAGCAGGATTCACTTAACGACTGCAGTGATCTGCTTAAGAAATGCGGCCCAAAAAAGGTTAGAAATTGGAACTTGTCTAATTTACCAACAGAAATTTCGAACTTCATTGTGGCCGTGTAAGCTGTTGGGTTAGGGTTAGGGAACAGGTAGTCCTTGACTTACGACCACACGATAGGTGGTTCCAATGGTTGCATTGTCCTAGGGCAGGGGTAGGCAACCTTGGCTCTTTTATGACTCGTGGACTTCAACTCCCAGAATTCCTGAGCCAGCCACGCTGAGGAGAAATGGAGAGGTTTCCAAGCTGAGCCATGCCGGCTCAGGAATTCTGGGAGTTGAAGTCCACGAGTCATAAAAGAGCTAAGGTTGCCTACCCCTGTCCTAGGGTCATCTGATCACAATTTGTACCCTTCCCAGCCAGCTTCCAACACGCAAAGTGAATGTTGGAAACTGGATTTGTTTAACAACCCCATTATACGCTTAAGAACTTTGCTTAAGGACCGTGGCAAAAAAAAGATTGTAAAATGGAGCTCACCCCACTTGACCAACTCACTGACCGATAGAAGTTCCAGTCCCACTTGCGGTCATAAGTTGAGGACCATCTGTACCTGTTGGTCATCAGATTAGGAAGAACCTAGCAATAACATTTAGGCTTATATACTGCCCCATAGCTCTTTACAGCCCTCTCTGGGTGGTTTACAGTGTATTTGCCTCTTGCCCCCAACAGTCTGGATCCTCATTTTTACCGACCTCGGAAACAGGGAAGGCTGAGTCAACCTTGAGCCGGTCAGGATCGAACTCCTGGCTGTAGGCAGAGTTTGCCTGCACTTTAACTGCGCCACCAGAATATGTCAAGCTGTATGGAAATACTTATATTGGCTGTGCGTTAAGACAGTGTAACTGAGGATTAGCACTTTTTTCTCCACAGAACTACCTTACTCTTCTTGATGATGAGGATCACACGTTGGAATACCTGAATATTCAAGATGAACAGCATTTAATTATAGAAGGTATAAGATAACCGTGACTTTATCCTAATATTCGTGGCTGGCTGGGGAATTCTGGGAATGGAAGTCCACACACATCTTCAGGTTGCCCAGGTTGAGAAATACTGCTTTAACTACTCAAATCACTGCAAAGCTGAGGGCAGTTTAGAGTGAGGTTCTGCCTGGAACAAGCGAAGGAAAAGAAAGATCAAACTGACTTTGCTACAATTCCCAAACGTTCTTATTCCTAATCACGCGTTCTTAAAAAGTTTAATTTGAGCCTTAGAGGAGAGGCTCGGTTAATTAACTTCAGAATTCTTCTTTTCCCCTCTTGTTACTTTGGCCCATTCATTTATCACTGGAAGTTCATATTGCATTTTTAATGCGATAACCTTTCCAGAGAGCTGGGGGCCAAAATCCGATGCACAATACCTGAAAACAGAGTTTTCGTTCAGAAATTTCTCACCTACAAACATCTGAGGATTTCTTTCCGGGCTGAGAACTGAATCATTTTGTTGGGATCCTTGGTGGCAGCAGCCCCAGTGGACAGCTCTCTGACTTCAAACCACATTGTGGTTTTCGTAAATATAAGGACCCTTCTGTCTTTGTAAAGAGGCTGGCCTTTCAGTCTCATGTTATTGGACTCAGCGGCCTTCTAAATGCAATGGATTTGGTGCCAGCTAAGCTTTGATCTTTGCTTTTTGCAGTTCGCAATAAAGACATGAGCTGGCCCGAAGAGATGTCATTTATAGCAAACAGCAGTAAAATTGATAGGCATAAAGGTAAGTGCTTCTTTCTTACTCTCTGACCTTCCAGAAGTCAATTATTGGTCGACACATGAATAGAATGAGCTGTTGGGAGTTCCAAGCAGATAGATCAGACATGTCAAACACAAGGCCCGGGGGCCAGATGCGGCCCACGAAGTGGTTTCATGTGGCCCGCAAAGCCATCCTGGAAACAGTGAGGGAACGGCCCCCTCTGCCTTGGCCCTGGCCCAGGCCGGCCGGGAGCCAATGTACAATTTTGTGGTGGCCATCTATGCTGAAACGCATTCAGTCTTAGCTCCACAAGGCCATCCAGAAACAGCGAGAAACAGCCCCTGCCGCGTCGGCCCCGCCCCCTGGGTGCATGCTGGGGAGGGGTCCCCCTTTGTGAGGAATGAAGAAATGGACCATGCCTTGGCACTTGCCCCGGTCCCACCCCCTTCTGCCAGAGACCCTCAGATCTGTCCCACTCCTGCCCAGGCCCCCACAGGCACCCTTGACGTGAACGATGTAGAGCTGGCCATGCCCACCCAGTAGGCCACACCCACTCCATTCACGCCCACCCAGTAGGCCACACCCCCTGGCCACACCCACCCAGTCCCCCAAGGGCAACCGCAATGCTGATGCGGCCCTCAATGAAATTGAGTTTGACACCCCTGGGATAGATCCTGCTAGTAAGTTGGTAAATCCAAGCTAGTAGATCCTGTCCAGTTCTGGTCACCACGATACAGAAACGATGTTGAGACTCTTGAATACAGAGAAGAGCAACAAAGATGATTAGGGATCTGAAGGCTCAAACAATGAACAGTTGAATGGGTATGTCTAGTTTAATGAAAAGAAGGACTAGGGGTAACAAGAGAGCAGTCCTCCAATATTTGAGAGACTATCACTAAGAAGGAGGTCAACCTATTCTCCAAAGCAGCTGAGGGCAGGACAAGAAGCAATGGAAGGAAACTATCAAGGAGAGGACTAACTAACTAATTAAGGAGAAATTTCCCGACAGTGAGAACAATTAACCAGTGGAACAACCTGCCTCCAGAAGCGGTGAATGCTCCAACACTGGAAGTTTTTAAGAAGAGACTGGACAGCCATTTGTCTGAAATGGTATAGGGCAGTGATGGCGAACCTTTTAGAGACCGAGTGCCCAAACTGCAATCCAAAACCCACTTATGTATCGCCGGGTGCCAGGTGGGTGTCCCTCCCCATAAGCAACATCAAGGTGGCCATGCCCACCCCGGCCATGCCCAATCTGCCATGACTACTGCAGCCACACCCATCCAGTGGCCACGGCCACCCAGTCTGCCAAGCCCACTGTAGCTGCACCCGCTGAGTGGGTCACACCCACCCGGCACCCGGCGATACATAAGTGGGTTTTGGGTTGCAGTTTGGGCACTCGGTCTCTGAAAGGTTCGCCATCACTGCAGTAGACATTCCCACATTAGGGGATCAGGACAATGGAGGTAAATCTGTCCCCTTCTTCTCCTTTTTTCCTCTGTATGTATCTATTGCACAACTTAACATTATTTGTATGTCAGTTAAATATTTTTTTGCCCTCTATCTCTCCATGCCATTTACTCTGGGCAGCCTACATTAATAAAAAGGAAGAAAATGAAAGGAATGTAAACAGAACAGAGGTAAAATAATAGAACAGTAAAAGAAACAATGGAAAAGATACACAATGAGGATATATACTTGGTTTCCCTGAAAACAAGACCCAGTCTTATATATATATAAGTGCACGCACAAGAGGTGAACGCACGGAGTCCGACAGTGTCTGGCATCAGCTGCAGCCTGCCAGCCCCTTACACAGCACAGGTAAATCCGAGTGCGGAGGGAGAGGCGGGTTGGAGGTAGGCGATCTGGACATCATCATCATCATCATCAAGTTGGAAGGGACCTTGGAGGTCATTTAGTCCAACCCCCTGCTCAGGCAGGAAACCCTACACCATTTCGGACAAATGGCTGTCCAGTTTCTTCTTAAAAACTTCCAGTGTTGGAGCATTCACCGCTTCTGGAGGCAGGTTGTTCCACTGGTTAATTGTTCTCACTGTCAGGAAATTTCTCCTTAGTTCTAGGTTGCTTCTCTGCTTGATTAGTTTCCATCCGTTGCTTCTTGTCCTGCCTTCAGGCGCTTTGGAGAATAGCTTGACTCCCTCTTCTTTGGGGCAGCCCCTGAGATATTGGAACACTGCACAGCCGCCTGCCAAAAAATGGAAATAAATGCTCGCTGCCTCCTGTGCTGGCCATGTCCACCCCCTCCAGGCTTATTTGGGGGGTAGGGCTTATATTAATAGCATCCTAAAAAAAATCAGGCTAGGGCTTATTTTCTGGGTGGGTGTTATTTTCGGGGAGATACGGTATCAATATGATAACCAAAATGATGGACAGGTGGGGAGATGGAATCTGCCAATAATCCAGAAACCGCTGCCAGCATGGATAATAGTGTTTATTATCATTATTTAATGACTAGCTGTACCCGGCCACGCGTTGCTGTGGCTCAGTCTGGCGTGTGTTGCTTTTACATCCAACAGATGGCGCTGTTTTTCAAAAAAAGCATGTTTTTACCTGTCACAGGTGTGACATCTATATAATATATAATAGTAGGTATATAAAAACACGTGCGTATTCGAATGCAACATTGTGTCAAAATTTCAAAGCAATCGGTGAAGAGCTTTCGGAGATTTAAGATTTTGAACAAACGAACATTTACATTTTTATTTATATAGATTTATAATTATTCATCGTTAACGTCCTGCTGATTTCCATCATTTCTTCCATCCTTCCAGTTCCCACCGAAAAAGGGGCCACAGGCTTGAGCAACTTGGGCAACACCTGCTTCATGAATTCGAGCATCCAGTGCGTCAGTAACACTCAACCTCTCACCCAGTATTTCATCTCCGGCCGACACCTGTATGAGCTGAACAGGTAGTTCTCACCCGTGACTCAAGGAGGAATTGAAATATGAACAGGAGCGGTTGTGATGTCGTATGTGTGTGTGTGTGCGTGCGTGGTTAAACGTAGTCCTGGACTTAACAACTGTAATGGAGCCTGCCCATTACAGTCGTAAGTTGTGATGGCTGTAAAGCGGATCATCGTGTGACCGATGTGATTTTAATGACCCTGTTTTTGCGGTGGTCATTAAATGAATCACCGTGGTTATTAACTGAAGCTGTGTCATTGTGGGACGTTTGTGCCAAAAAATGGAAATAAATGCCAGTTTTCAGCAGAAACGTCGTACATCGGGGTCACATCACCGTGGGACGCTGTTAATGTCCATAAATGCAGGCTGGTTGCCAAGTGCCCAACATGCTGTAACATGACCATGGGGGGGTGGGAGAGCTGTCAAAACCAGGTCCTAAGTACCTTTTGGAGGGATCTGTCATAACTTCAAACAGTTGGTCATACGTTGAGGACTGCCTATATCAGTGATGGCGAACCTTTTAGAGACCGAGTGCCCAAACTGCAACCCAAAACCCACTTATGCATCGTCGGGTGCTGGGTGGGCATGGCCCATTGGGTGGGCGTGGCTGCAGTGGTAATGGCAGACTGGGTGGGACTAAAAAGTTCAATCAATCAATTCCAACTTTGCAAGATCTTTTTTTTTCCCTGCAAGAAGTTGAAATTGACTGATTGATCAAACCTAAAGCGAAAAGGTTTTATAAAACCCAGCTGAAGGTCTAGGACTGGGGCGATGGCACGCGTGCCCACAGAGAGGGCTCTGAGTGCCGCCTCTGGCACCCGTGCCACAGGTTCGCCACCACTAGCCTATATTGTAAAGTGATCCAGATAGAGAACAAATACACTAGAAATAAAAAGGGCTGCCTTTGTTTGTTGCTGACTTCCTGGTTCTGACAACAACATTGTTGCTTGCCTAGTTTTTCTGCACTTTAGGAAGAACTGCAGGGTTCCCCCCTGCCTAAGATGCTGGCAAATCACTCAAATGAAACAAAATCTTATCCCTGCATGTAGACATCTAGCCTATATAAAGAAGAGGAGGTTCAGTATAGCTCTTGTCCTGTCTATATTGAGGGAGCAATTTAGTGGTGCCCTCTGTCATCTGAGGTTACATATAGACCAGGGGTGTCAAACTCAATTTCATTGAGGGCTGCATCAGCATTGCAGTTGCCCTCGGGGGGGAGGGTGTGGCCTAGTGGGTGGGCGTGGATGGAGTGGGTGTGGCCTACTGGGTGGGTGTGGCCAGTTCTACATCGTTCGCGTCAAGGGTGTCTGTGGGGGCCTGGGCAGAAGTGGGACAGATCGGAGGGTCTCTGGCAGAAGGGGGTGGGACCGGGGCAAGCGCCAAGGCATGGTCCATTTCTTCATTCCTCACAAAGGGTGACACCTCCCCAGCATGCACCCAGGGGGCGGGGCCGACGCGGCAGGGGCTGGTTCCTCGCTGTTTCTAGACGGCCTTGTGGAGCTAAGACTGAATGCGTTTCAGCATAGATGGCCACCACAAAATTGTACATTGGCTCAAGGGTGGCCTGGGCCAGGGCCGTTCCCTCACTGTTTCCAGGATGGCTTCGTGGGCCACATGAAACCACTTCACGTGCCGCATCTGGCCCCCGGGCCTTGTGTTTGACATGTCTGATATAGACCGTCCTTACTTTACGACCATTTAATGACCGTTCAAAATTACAGCAGCATTGAAAAAAGTAAGTACCGGTAGCTCTTGCACTTATGACTCTCTCAGGATCCTCACAGTCATCTGGTCAGTAATGTGGGTGCTTAGCAACCACGTGTGTTCCTGATGAGTTGCACCATCCCGGGGTCACGTGATCCCCATCTCTCACCTTCCTAGCGGTCTTCCATCAAGCAGAGTCAATGGAGAAGCTGGATTTGCTTCGACAACCGTGATGATCTGCTTAAGGACATGGGGGAAAAAGTGGTTTCCAGCCCTGGTGTGACTCGCTTAACAGCCACGTTGTTTAGCAATGGCAGTTCTAGTTCCCATTGGGTTTGTAAGAAGAGATCTACCTGTTTTTCAAAATCCCACCAATTCCTTCCTAGGTAATCCCAAAAAAGATAATTGACGGAACGAATTTTGTTCTAAATTCCAGGACAAATCCAATAGGAATGAAGGGGCATATGGCTAAGTGCTATGGGGATTTGATTCAAGAACTGTGGAGTGGAACCCAAAAGAACATCGCTCCTCTCAAGTTGAGGGTAAGCCCCCACAACCTTTCTTACTTCCTTTGCAGCTTCATTATGAAATGGGGAATTTTAGAAAAAAAAAATCATGTATTTCCTGACATATACAGACCTGGAAAGTGAGTCACCCTACAGTGGAACAATTTCAAAAGTCCCATTTCCTGGGAGGCGTATGGGACAAACTTTCCTAGATAATACTATTGTCAAGGTTCCGACTAATGAAACACTTCAAAGAACTTCCAGGCATTTTATCCTAAAAAGTCTCTTATTTATGTGACAAAATGTCGGCACAGGCATGATGAAAGGCAATGCTAAAATCTGAAATCCCCACCCACCGAGCAGTTATTTGTTGGCATTTCCACTCCCTATTTTGCTGTCATGATTTACGTTCCCCAATTAGTGTGAAGGGAAAAGGTTCCCTTCCTTTCCCTTTCCCGGGCTTTTCCCTCCTCCCTCTTTCTCCTCTGCATTAACTCTAAAAATACCAGACAGTTCTGCATATTTTGTCAAAGCAAGAATTTAAAATATTAGCAGCGTTGACAACTATATTCATTTCCCTTCATTCGAGGAGCAGGGAAGAATAATTAGCACCCAGGTGGAATCTGGACTACAAAGTCTATCTCCCTTAGTAGGTGGGGGAGCACACAGACATGGTAACTGCTTCCTTGAACTCATTCCACCGGTTGTGTCATAGCGTTCACATACGGTGCTATTAAATGCTTTTAAATGTGACCGATTGAATAAGCCGAAGGGTTGGCAGTTCGAGACCCAGACAACGTGTGACAGGGTGAGCTCCGCGTTCTTGCCCCAGCTCCTGCTAAGCTAGCAATTCAAAAGCACGCAAATGTGAGTAGATCAATATCCTGTTTCCCTGAAAGTAAGGCCTACCCCCAAAAATAAGCCCTAGCTTGATTTTTGGGGGTGGGCCTAATATAAGCCCCACCCCAAAACTAAGCCCTAGTTTGGGGGTGAGGCACACCCTTAAAAATCAAGGTGGGGTGGGGGTGTGGATCTGCCTCACACGCCCTGCACCCACTTACCTGGCAGCCAGGCCTCTCCTCACCGGCCCACTTCTTCTGAGGCGTCTTCTGCAGCCAGGCCTGCGTTTCTCAGTCAGGCCTGCATTTCTGGAAAGGCCACTGCAGCCGAGAACTGAGCTTGAATCCATAGCTCGGTACTCGGCTGCAGAGGCCTTCCGAAAAGGCCTGACTGCAAAATGCAGGCCGGAATGCAGCTGCAGAATGAAGCTGTTCCTTCGGCTGCAGAAGAAGTGGACCAGCTGGGCAGGGCTGTCGGTGCAGGAGGTGAATAAAAAAGACACCCCCCCCCAAAAAAATAAGACTTGATCTTATTTTCGGGAAAACATGGGTAGGTACCACTTTGATGGGAAGGTCACAGCACTCCGTGCACCTTTGGTGTACAGCCATGCCAGCCACATAACCATGGGAGTGTCTTCAGACAATGCTGGCTCCCTTGGCTGTGAATCAGTGATGAGGACCGTCCCCTAGAATCGGACCGTCCCCTTTACCTTTGAATAAGCCCCATTTGGCTGATTTCACCCATAATGTTAAGCCATGACTTACCCAAGAATAGTGCCTTGGATTTGCATGCACCGTCAGCATTGTCTAACTAACTCGGCCGATGTGTGAACTTCCTCACTGTTCTTAACACCCACTGGGTCCACTTTGCTTTGTTACAGTGGACTATAGCTAAATACGCCCCGAGATTTAATGGCTTCCAACAACAAGACTCTCAGGAGCTCTTAGCTTTTCTCCTGGATGGGCTCCATGAGGACCTGAACCGAGTTCATGATAAGCCGTATGTGGAACTGAAGGACAGTGATGGCCGGCCGGATTGGGAGGTAGCGGCAGAAGTGAGTGACCTGGGGCCAATACGTGGCTCTCTCTGACATCTAATGCAGGTTTTGTTTTCCTACCATGTTGTGGTTTCTCAGGAAGCATCCATTCTCTCAAAGAACGAAAGCCCCAGTCTGTCGTGGTTAACCATTAGCTAGCTGTCACTTGAGACAACAAGCTCCATCGTACCCAGTAGCACTAGCAGTAGCACTTAGACTTATATACCGCTTCACTGAGCTTTACAGCCCTCTCTAAGCGGTTTACAGAGTCAGCAAATGCCTCCCCCCCAACCATCTGGGTCCTCATTTTACCAACCTAGGAAGGATGGAAGGCTGAGTCAACGGGGAGCCCCGTTAGGATCAGACTCCTGGCTGTGGGCAGAGTTAGCTTGCAGTACTGCATTCTAACCACTGCGCCACCACGGTTGCCAAAGTTGCAGGATTCCCTGCAGATAATGATAGTCCAGAGGAAGATCCCTTAAACTTGCAGGGGTCTTCAAACTTGGCCTTTTGATGACTTGTGGACTTCAACTCCCAGAATTCCTCAGCTAGTGTGCATTGTATGTTTTAGCCTCCAGTCCCCTGATCATCTTTGTTGCTCTTCTCTGCACTCTTTCTAGAGTCTCAACATCTTTTTCTACATCGTGGTGACCAAAACTGGATGCAGTATTCCAAGTGTGGCCTTACCAAAGCCTTGTAAAGTGGTATTAACATCGATTTCCTTTTCATTTCATTTCAGGCCTGGGAGAACCACTTGAGAAGGAACCGCTCAATTGTGGTTGACCTCTTTCATGGGCAGCTGAGGTCCCAGGTGAAGTGTAAGACCTGTGGGCACATCAGTGTTCGTTTTGACCCTTTCAATTTTTTATCGCTGCCTCTTCCGATGGACAGTTACATGCATATAGAAATAATAGGTGAGTGAGGAATCTTGAGTCTCTCTCCTTGGTGTGGTTGTTGGGGAAAAAATGGACTCCATTTTGGTTGTTAGGTTGTTGAGCATCTCTTTCCAGCTGGGATCTTCCAAATACGTTGGACTTTATTTATTTTTATTCACAAGTAGTCCTCGACTTACATCCATTCATTCAGTGATCATTGGAAGTTACAACGGCACTGAAAAAAAGTGACTTACGATTGTTTTTCACACTTAACAACTGTTGCAGCATCCCCATGATCATGTGATCAAAATTCAGACGCTGGGCAAACTGGCGTGTATTTATGACGGTTTGCAGTGTCCCGGGGTCACGTGATCATATTTGTGACTTTCCCAGCCAGCTTCCAACAAGCGAGTTTCGCTTAACGACCATTGCAGCATCCCCCATGGCCACATGATCAGAATTCAGACACTTGGCCACGGGTTCATATTTATGACGGCTGCAGTGTCCCGGGATCGTGTGATCCCGTTTTGCGCTCTTTTGACAAGTAACGTCCATGGGAAAGCCAGGTTGACTTAACAACTGCGTTACTGACTTAACAACTCAGTGATTCATTTACTAAGAGCTGTGGCCAAAAAAGTCATAAAATGGGACCAAAATCACAACAACTGTCTTACATAGCAGTGTAAATTCTGGATTCAGTTATGGTTGTAAGTTGAGGACTATCCAATCAAATCAACCTTTATTGTCAAAGTACAACATGTGTACAATGAGATTGGCTGAGACTCCCTTCATGCACCCTCCCCCAACACAACTCACAGTGACAACAAACACACAATCTCATTGCACCATGTGAACTTATTGCACAACGCGCCGGCCCCGCAAGTCTATCATACGTGGAGTTATTTCTCATTCAGGAGTCTGACAGCCCACGGGTAGAAACTGTTCTTCAGCCTGTTGGTACGGCTGGCTATGCTTCCACATCTCCTACCCGATGGGACGAGAGTAAAGAAGTGCTGACCAAGATGTGATTCGTCCCTGAGGATTTTCCTCACTCTTCTAAGGCAGCGGGCCCTAGGGATGTTGTCTAGTGCAGGGCTTTTCAATCTTTTCACCCATTGTACCACTTTTAGGATATGGCAACATCCGAGTACCACCAGTCGCCTAGCAAGGTGTCAAAAACTTGACCAAAAAGAAAAAGGAAAAAAGTGATAAAGTACAGGTAGTCCTCGACTTACAACAGTTCGCTTAGTGACTCTTTGAAGTTACAATGGCACTGAAAAAGGTGCCCCCCAAGCCACAGCCGAGCAAGACACCTGCCTGCCCACCCGGTGGCGCTCTTCCTCCTGTCCGAGGTTTTCATTGTTGCGAGCATTTCTGTTGAGGATTGGCAGCGGGGGTGGGGTGGGGGGGGTACTTGGTTTTTATTCCCCCCCCCCCCCGTCTGCTGGGTGGTTGCAGCAGGTTTTGGTCACTTCACATGACCCTGGGACACTGTGACCGTCATAAATATGAATGTAAATCACAAGACCCTGGAGATGCTGCAACATTCCAGCTGATGGGTGCTTCTTCTGGGCTCAGCAGAAGCACCAGGATCAGTGCCGAGCTCCAGCTGGAGCCTGGCACTGATCCTGGCGCTTCCGCTGAGCCCTGACAGCCCCGAAGAAGCGCCGATCAGCTGGAAAGCGGCACTGATCCTGGCGCTTCCGCTGAGCCCTGACAGCCCTGCAGCTCCAGCCGTCTCTCGCTCAGGCTTGTGCGGTGCTGCCGTCACTTCAGCTCATTCCCCTCCCCCGCTACCACTTTTCTAGGATGGTCGCATACCACCTGCCAGGTGCCAATGTACCACAGGTGGTACCCGTACCATTGGTTGAAAAGCCCTGGTCTAGTGGTATCAGGGGACAACCCACGATGTTTTGTGTTGTGCTCACCACCCTCTGTGGTGTCTTTCTATCCGCGGCTGTCAAGCCAGCATACCACACCGTAATGCAATGTGAGAGGACGCTTTCTATAGTGGACCGGTAAAAGAAGGTCCTCAGTCGTTGTTCCACTTTGTTCTTTCGCAAAACTATCTGTAGTTTTGAAAGGTACTGAAAAAGTTAAAACACCTGGAACCCTCTTCGTTCCATTACATCAGCCCGTCCCATCCCTTCAGGCAAAGAAGGCATGTTGCAGACCCTGTCAGTTTAGGAATTCCGACTGGGGGCGGGGATCTAGGAAGAGATCCTTCTCTGCCATTGTCCCTTCCCTGCACAATCCTCGCCCCCCAGAGATGAGATGGGATGCCAGTCCCTTGGCCTTCCAGAAACGGGTGAAAGCATGGCGTCTCCGCGGCCTTGCACGTGGAGCCCAGAGAAACACAGAGCCCTGGGCTGTTTAGCACCTTAAAAGCCCTCCTTTTTTGCCTTTCAATTAATTTTTAACATTGTCTTGAATCGCCTTGCCTCTTTTTAAAATCTTAACTTTTGTATACTGTGTCAACGCTGCTAACATCGGATGTTCTTGCTTTGACAACATACGGAGATGCAGCCTTTTTCTTTCTTATGCTTTACTCTTAGAATTAGATGATACTGGGGGGGAGTAGGAGGAGGAATGTGATGGGAGTTAGTTAGACATAACAATATTATAATAGTGTGTGAACTCGGGGCTTTTGGAATAAGAGATGATAAGAAATGGCGGGTTGGAGAACTGGAAGGAAAGCCTACATTTCAAACTAATTGGAGAATGTGATTTATGACTGCTAACTAGAGGAGGGAATTGTGTTTGATACTATGTGCTAAGAGGAGGAGAATTCAGATTTTGGCTTCGACCATGTACGTGCCGATGCTATGCTTCTTCAATAAAGATTCTTTAAGGTAAACAATGCCTCGAAGTTCATCTGTCGGAATCATGATGTACCGTTTTTATGTTTTAATTTTTTATGGTAGGCTGCCCAGAGTCTCTCTCTGTTGAGGGGAGATGGGCGGTTCCAAAAATGTGATAAATAAAAACTAAATAAATAAAGTGAAAAGTTTCTAAAAATACACACTTTCTCTCTTTTGTCTCTCTCCCATTCATTTTCCCTTTTTTTCTTTTCTTCTTCAAGTAACTAAACTAGATGGCACGACTCCTGTCCGATACGGACTCAGGCTGAATATGGACGAGAAATACTCTGACTTGAAGAAACACCTGAGTGAACTGTGTGCCCTGAAGCCCGATCAGATCCTGCTTGCAGAAGTACACAGCTCGAACATAAAGGTAATGATGCCTCTGCAACTGAATGCAAAAATTGACCACCCTTGGAGAAATGTATGTTTCAGTGAAACCCTAAGGAGGCAGAAGAGACACAACTGCTGTATAAAGAGATGGGGAACTGAATGTAATTGTCTCCTACAAAAGAGAAAAGCTTGGAACCTTCCTCCTTCTAATTTTTTCCACAACAACAACAAGCCTGTGAGGTGGGTTGATCTGAGAAAGAGAGCGACTGGCCCAAAGTCACCCAGCCGGCTTTCATGTCAAAAGCGGGACTAGAACTCACTGTCTCCTGGTGATTTGGCCCAGAGTCACCCAGACACATTTCATGCCTAAGGTGGGACTAGAACTCCCTGTCTCCTGGTGATTGGCTCCAAGTCACCTAGCCGGCTTTCATGTCTAAAGCAGAACTAGAACTCACTGTCTCGTGGTGATTGGCTTCAAGTCACATAGCTGGTTTTCATGTCAAAAGCGGGACTAGAAATCACTGTCTCCTGGTGATTGGCCCAAAGTCACCCAGACACATTTCATGCCTAAGGTGGGACTAGAATTCACCAACTCCTGGTGAGTGGCTTCAAGTCACATAGCCACTTTCATATCTAAAGCAGAACTAGAACTCACAGTCTCCTGGTGATTGGTCTGTCACCTAGCCGGCTTTCATGTCTAAACCGAGACTAGAACTCACTGTCTCTTGGTGATTGGCTCCAAGTCACCTAACCGACTTTCATGTCTAAAGCAGAACTAGAACTCACAGTCTCTTGGTGATTAGCTCCAAGTCACCTAGCTGGTTTTCATGTCTAAAGCGAGACTAGAACTTACTGTCTCCTGGTGATTGCCCCAGAATCACCCAGACAGATTTCATGCCTAAGGTGGGACTAGAATTCACCAGCTCCTGGTGATTGGCTCCAAGTTATCCAGCCGGCTTTCATATCTAAAGCAGAACTAGAACTCACAGTCTCCTGGTGATTGGCTCCAAGTCACCTAGCCAGCTTTTATGTCTAAAGCGGGACTAGAACTCCCTATCTCCTGGTGATTGGCCCAGAGTCACCCAGACACATTTCATCTCTAAAGTGGGACTAGAACTCATTGTCTCCTGGTGATCGGCTCCAAGTCACCTAGCCGGCTTTCATATCTAAAGCAGAATTAGAACTCACAGTCTCCTGGTGATTGGCCCAAGTCACCTAGCCGGCTTTCATGTCTAAAGTGGGACTAGAACTCACTGTCTCCTGTTGTTTGGCCCAGAGTCATCCAGACAGATTTCATGCCTAAGGTGGGACTAGAACACCCCAGCTTCTGGTGATTGGCTCCAAGCCACCTAGCCAGCTTTCATGTGTAAAGCAGGACTAGAACTCACCGTCTCCTGCTTTCCAGCTTGGTGCCTTAACGTATAGACCCTAACGAGAGGCTTTTACCGTCCTGCAGTTTACAGGAGATCCAGAGAGTAAAGCTTGAGTTTTTATAGAGAGACGTTTGGCCCAGAGTCACCCTGACATATTTCATGCCTAAGGTGGGACTAGAACTCACTGTCTCCTGGTGATTGGCTCCAAGTCACCTAGCCGCTTTCATATCTAAAGCAGAACTAGAACTCACAGTCTCCTGGTGATTGGTCCATCACCTAGCCAGCTTTCATGTCTAAAGCGGGACTAGAACTCACTGTCTCTTGGTGATTGGCTCCAAGTCACCTAACCGACTTTCATGTCTAAAGCATAACTAGAACTCACAGTCTCCTGGTGATTGGCCCAGAATCACCAGACAGATTTCATGCCTAAGATGGGACTAGAACTCACTGTCTCCTGGTGATTGGCTCCAAGTCATCTAGCCGGCTTTCATGTCAAAAGCGGGACTAGAACTCCCTGTCTCCTGGTGATTGGCCCAGAGTCACCCAGACACATTTCATGCCTAAGGTGGGACTAGAACTCCCTGTCTCCTGGTGATTGGCTCCAAGTCACCTAGCCAGCTTTCATGTGTAAAGCAGGACTAGAACTCACCGCCTCCTGCTTTCCAGCTTGGTGCCTTAACGTAGAGACCCTAACGAGAGGCTTTCATCGTCCTGCAGTTTACAGGAGATCCAGAGAATAAAGCTTGAGTTTTTATAGAGAGATGTTTGCCTCGATGTGCCCAGCCTATCCTTTAGATCCGACGGGCCGCGTCAAAAGACGAGCCCTATCCTGGGAGCTCATTATACAATCTATCGAGACAACAGATGTGGCTGAGTCAGATCTTCTCCCCTCTCCTTTGTAATTCTCTCGCCAGCTGCTTCCGTGCTTTTGGAAACAGCTTTCCTGTCTCCCCTGGGTTTCCCAAAAACTTTGGAGCAGCGTTCTCCGTTGCTGTCGGGTCGAGGCACAGAATGCCTCAGCTTCCTCTAGTCTACCAGCTCTCTGAAGTGTCGTCTTAATTATTAATTGCTCCCGGCTTTAATCTCTTCCGTTGTTGCTGCTGTCGTTTCTCCCGCAGAACTTTCCGCAAGACAACCAAAAAGTCCGGCATTCGACGACAGCTTCTTTGTGCGCGTTCGAGGTGCCAATCCCTGGCTCCCCCACTTCGGCTTCTTCAAGTCCTTTGCAAACAGGTAGGAAGAAATGCCTCGATTCCACACACACACACACCCCGGCCCAGTTGGGAGTTTTGTCAGACAAGCTGGCAGTGCTGCTGTTGCTTAGCGTTGGGAGCGAAAGTGAGCGCTCTTAACTTTCACTCCCAACTGAATGAAGGGCTTAATGTGGAGTAAAATGCAGGAATGATGGGAACTGATGGACAAAAAAGTTCCCACGCGAAGCTGTCCTCTTCGTGTTTCTCTCAACCGCTGGCCCTGCCATAGAAAACCAACTTCTCTTTCCCCATCTCCTCCTCCTCCTCCTCCTCCTTTTTTCCATCTTTCTCTCCATCTCCTTCTCCTCTCCTTCTTCTTCTCCTCTTCTCCTTCTCCTCTTTCTTCTTCTCCCTTTCCCCTTCCTCCCCCTCCTCTCCCTCCACCTCCATTTTAGCCCTCTCGGGACTGGCACAGTCAGGATACAATTTGTAAAGGAGGAACATTCAACCAATACTTGTTGCAGAATCCAGCTGTTCTTATGACAGAATGTAGAGAACTAACTTAGTTTTTCTCACATATTGTTTTATTCTGTGCTGGAGAAGCCCGGCATAGAATAAGACAATATGTGAGCAAGACTAAATAGTTTGTTCTCTTTTTACAGTCTAGTTAGTAAAGAAAACAGGTCTCCTTATTGAAGGCGCTAGAGATTTTACCCAGCTAGTGATCAAAAATGATCCTTAAGCGAAGAGCTTAAGCAGAGAAGAGCAATAAAGAGCAGAGAAGAGCAACAGAGATGATTAGGTGGCTGGAGGCTAAATATATATAAGGAACGGTTGCTGGAATTGGGTATGTCTAGTTTAATGAAGAGAAGGACGAGGGGGGATATGATAGCAGTCTTCCAATATCTCAGGGGCTGCCCCAAAGAAGAGGGAGTCAAGCTATTCTCCAAAGCGCCTGAAGGCAGGACAAGAAGCAACGGATGGAAACTAATCAAGGAGAGAAGCAACCTAGAACTAAGGAGAAACTTCCTGACAGAACAATTAACCAGTGGAACAACCTGCCTCCAGAAGTGGTGAATGCACCAACACTGGAAGTTTTTAAGAAGAGACTGGACAGCCATTTGTCTGAAATGGTATAGGGTCTCCTGCCTGAGCAGGGGGTTGGACTAGATGACCTCCAAGGCCCCTTCCAACTCTATTGTTCTACTGTATTCTGTTCTATTCGGTGTGTAAAATTAGCTTCCTACCAGGACCTATTTCGACAACAGCCTCTTTGTGCTTGAGTTTTAGATTTTTACCGTGGACAGTCGACTAACGGGATGATCAACTGTCTGATGAACGGTGACCTTCCGCGATCAACCTTGATCCCAAACGGAATGCCGAACACAGTGGTGCCCTGCAGGGTGGAGAACGGTGTGATGATGAACGGCCATGTGACCTCGCCTTCGGACAGCCCCTTCATAGGCTACATCATTGCCGTCCACAGGAAAATGGTTAGTGCGGAACAAGCATTGCCCAAATCAATAAGATGCTTTGTCCCTTTCAGATGAAGTAGCTACAGCTTCAGAGGACCACCAGCCATTGGGAAAGTACATCTGGGGTTCAGACATAATCTGTACCATGCTGGGAACATTTGCTTGTCGATCTGTGGGGTGGGCTTCAAAAAGATCCCTCTGTTGGATAGTCACCCCCTGTCACTAAAACAGGGGTCCCCAGGCCTCAGCCCATTGCCTGTTTGGAACCGGGCCGCACAAGCAGCAGGCCAGCACACACACACACACACACACACAGCTTGATTTGAATGAGCAGTGGGCTGGTGTGTATGCACGTGCATGAGCAGCGGGTCAGTGCTCGCGTGTGCTGGTTCCCCTCACTCCCTCCCTGCTGGGCCGCCAAGCCGTAAAGATTGGGGACCGCTGCACTAAAGGAATTAACCAGTGACCCTTGGTTGGGATCACAGTTTGGCTGAGTGACTTTGTCCAAAGCTGTTGAGATTTCCAGACCTCTTGGGCAAAAAAAAAAACCTGAGGCACGGATCCAGTAGCCTTGTGGTTTATTTATTTATTTATTGTTTTTTTCTTCTTCGTTAAATGTATTAACTGCCCATCTTACCACTAGATTTGTTTAGAGCAAGGTTATTTTTGTATTCTGAGAAAGGATGCTGTTGTAACAAGAAGCTATTTCCTCAATCTAACCTGCATCTCCAGAGTGCTGAAAGGGTGCCCGTGAGGTTGGGGATAGGGCAGTGATGGCGAACCTTTTAGAGACTGAGTGCCCAAACTGCAACCCAAAACCCACTTATGCATCGTCAGGTGCTGGGTGGGTGTAGCCCATTGGGTGGGTGTGGCCCATTGGGTGGGCGTGGCCCATTGGGTGGGTGTGGCCCATTGGGTGGGCGTGGCCCATTGGGTGGGTGTGGCTGCGGTGGTAACGGCAGACTGGGTGGGACTAAAAAGTTCAATCAATCAATTCCAACTTTGCAAGATCTTTTTTTTCCCCGCGAGAAGTTGAAATTGACTGATTGATTGAACCTTTTTTTTTTTTTTTGCACACAGTGGTGGAGGCCTAAAGCGAAAAGGTTTTATAAAACCCAGCTGAAGGCCTAGGACTGGGGTGACGGCGCGCATGCCCACATAGAGGGCTCTGAGTGCCGCCCCTGGCACCCGTGCCATAGGTTCGCCACCACTGGGATAGGGGTTATTCTTGGGAGGGTGAGGTGGGGGACACAAGGAGAAGCATGGACTGACTGAAGACAGATTTTTTTTTACCCAAACCCCCACGGAGGGATTTTGGAAATCTCCACCGCATTGCATCTTTTTCTACCGTGAAAAGTGTTGTGGGTTGATGGAGTTAAAAGCATCCTTGCAGGATGCAAGCTGTTCCAATAAAGCTGATTTTTTTGCAATTGACGGATGGAGATTTTTTTTGTCAGTGCCGATGGTGTCCGAGGGGTGCTTCCGTTGTTTCGAAATGACACCCCAAGCCGCGTATCGCTATTGGTACTTATCTTTGTTTTCATTTGCCACAGCCGTTCTGTATCTATTTGTAGATTTTTTGTTTTGTGATTTTTTTTTTTAATCATTAAAAACTTTGAATTTATAAAAGGCATAAAAATATTAAGCAAAGAGAGGGTGTTAATTACACTGGAGCCATTGTACTATTTTGCTGTTATGTTTCTAGACACCATTTGAGAGACAGTCCATCCATGTTTTTACAAACGTCTAGGAGTCGTTCCTAACTTTCAAAATACATGTGCTTTTTTTAAAAAAAAAAAAAAAACTTGCCCATTGAATGCAGATGCGGGCCGAAATGTACTTCCTCTCGTCTCAAAAGAACCGGCCGAGCCTGTTTGGGATGCCTCTGATTGTTCCCTGCACAGTTCACACAAGGAAGAAAGACTTGTATGACGCTGTCTGGATTCAAGTGTCTCGGCTTGCAAGCCCCCTCCCTCCCCAGGAAGCAAGTAACCATGCTCAGGATTGGTAAGTCCAGTGCTGGAATGAGGAACTGCTGAGCCACTAATACAGTGGTTCTCAACCTTTTTAATGCCGCGACCCCAACCGGTTGTAAGTCGAGGACTAAACTGGTCATAAGTCGAGGACTAAACCGGTCGTAAGTCGAGGACTACCCAACCGGTCGTAAGTCGAGGACTATCCCTGCCCGGGAACGCCGCGCATGCGTGGTTCCGCCCCCTGCGCCGGCCGAGGCGTAGCTGGTAAGCGGCAGAGACGGAGCAGGCCGACCACCAGCTGGCCCAGCCCAAGGGAGGTAAGGCACCCGCCGGAAAAGGGGGAAAAAAATGGCGGACAAAAAAAATGGCGGACAGCCTTGCTTGGTGACCCCCATGAAATGGTCGATCGACCCCAAATGGGGTCCCGACCCACAGGTTGAGAACCACTGCACTAATAGGACTGATAGAAGAGAGAATATTTGTAGCTCACGGTTGGGGTCCTTGGTGTTTGCTCTCTGAGCCTGGTTGTTTTCTTGCAGACGTTTCATTACCCAACTAGGTCACATCATCAGTGCAAGAAAGGAGAAGCACTGAGTTAAGCACTGATGATGTGACTTAGCAGGGTAATGAAATGTCTGCAAGACAGCAACCGAGTTCATAGAGCACCAAGGGCTCACTACACTAACAGGCCTGCAGGGCGGCAATTTTGAACATCTCAGAGAAGTAAGCCAAGCTGCATAAGTGACAAGAAGAGCCCATACGGCTTATTGGAGTACAGTGGTGCCTTGGTACTCAACTGCTTTGCAACTCATCGAATTTGGTACTCGACGGATTTTGACCCAAAATTTCATCCCGGTACTCATGCTAGAATTTGTTGGTGTCAGCTGCCCATTATTCCTTATGGGAAAAATTTGTTTGGTACTTGTCATTTTTGGTGTTCATCCCACCTCCCGCAACCAATTAAGATGAGAACCGAGGTACCACCGTGTTGGCCTTCAGCTGACAAATCCACATTCTCAGTCTTGAAGCTCGCTAGATCAGGAGCCCCCAACCCCCAGTCCATGGGCACGGCATGTCAGCAACCGGGCCGCACAAACAAGTGAAGCCCCATCCACAGGATGAAGGCAGCACACGAAACCACACCACTTCCGATCCACGGAAAAACCTCTCTCCACAGAACCGGTCCCTGATGCCCCAATGTTTGGGGGCCGCTGCACTAGATGACTGGTTAGACCAGTGATGGTGAACCTTTTAGATACCAAGTGCCCCAAAACCGCCCCGCCCTGTGGCTCTGCCCCCTGCCTCACCCGCAGGGCCACCTACCGCCTTCACGGCCCGTCACAGATCGCCCAGGCGGCCCTGCAGCACCATGGCGGCCAAGCCCTCTGCCCGCACCCCGCAGCATCATCTGCACGCGACAGGGTACGTGGGCGGAGTTTTGTCCCTGCTGCCCGTCTGCCATGTCCTTGGCTGCGCTGCTCTGTGCGGGCCATGCCCGGGGGCTACTCTCCTCCGGGGGTGGCTTCTGGTGAGGAGGGGGCCGTGGGGAAAGGCGGGGCTGGAGCGATGGTGTGCGTGCCCACAGAGAGGGCTCTGAGTGCCGCCTCTGGCACGCATGCCATAGGTTCACCACCACTGGGTTAGACATTTTCAATCTTTATTTAATATGAGAAACTAATTAAGGAGAGAAGCAACCTAGAACTAAGGAGAAATTTCCTGACAGTGAGAACAATTAACCAGTGGAACAACCTGCCTCCAGAAGCGGTGAATGCTCCAACACTGGAAGTTTTTAAGAAGAGACTGGACAGCCATTTGTCTGAAATGGTATAGGGCAGGGGTAGGCAACTTTGGCCCTTTTATGACTCGTGGACTTCAACTCCCAGAATTCCTGAGCCAACATGGGGGGAACTATGGCCCCTTCATGACTCGTGGACTTCAACTGCCAGAATTCCTGAGCCAGCCTGGCTCAGCATGGAAACCTCTCCCTTTCTCCTCAGCATGGCTGGCTCAGGAATTCTGGGAGTTGAAGTCCACGAGTCATAAAAGAGCCACGGTTGCCTACCCCTGGTATAGGGTTTCCTGCCTGAGCAGGGGGTTGGACTAGATGACCTCCAAGGTCCCTTCCAACTCTTATTGTTGTTGTTGTTGTTGTTGTTGTTGTTGTTATTATTATTATTATTATTATTATTATTATTATTATTATTATTAAGATCTCTGAGTGGGTGAGAGAGAAAGTACCTTATGACAGGGGTCCCCAACCTCCAGTCCACGGACCAGTACCGGGCCGCGACATGCCAGCACCAGTACGCACAAAAAAGCAAAGCCCTATCCATGAGATGCAGGCAGCACACAAAACCACGCACCCTCCAGTTCGTGGAAAAAACTCTCTCCACGGAACTGGTCCCTGGTGCCCAAAAGGTTGGGGACCTCTGACTTATGATGCTCGGCAAATATCTCTGTTATACTTCAATAAGGCCTTTTAACTCAGAAAGTCACAAATGAGAAAAGAGTGAATCATATATAATTAAATACTTCAGGTAATACAGGATAAAATTTAACATGCCGTATGCAGATAGTCCTCAATTTACAACCACAATAGGGGCCAGGATTTCCATTGCTAAGCAAGGTGTCATCTGTTAAGTGAATCACACCTGACCTTTTTTCCCACAGTTGTTAAGCGAACCACT